GGTATTACAAGCAGAATAAAACACTAACAATGCAATAAAAGAAAAAATTAGGGTGTCAGTGGAAAGAGGTGAGTTTTCTGTAGGGACTTTAAAGTTTCTGAACTCAGAGCAGTTCTTACTCTGTTCTAGAGATTAGGGGCAGCCACTGCAAAGGCTCTATCGCCTCTATTTTTGTGTCTGGATTTTAAAACACCTAAGAGCGACTAGTTGGTCGACCTCTACTGACATGATGTTGCAAGAATTGTGCTCAAAAAGGGGGCACCAACCCAATAAAACCTTAAAAACAACCAACATGTGATTCACTTCCTTTATCATGTTAGAAGAGAAGCAGCTGCATCTTGTACCAGCTGCAGACGCTGAAGGGATGACTGCTCTTAGTTCTATGCTCATTGTGAAAGAAAGACTACAGCTGCAACAGGATGCAAAATTCTGCTCTGTGTGAGTTCAGCTTATCTTTGCATAAATGTTATTACAGTGTGTTAACTGTTCTTAGTCACCACCAAATCAATTGAATTGAATCAGCAGGATACTCCTATCTAGTATCAGCTGAATCACAGCGTTCAGGGGAACCAAACAGCTGGCTTTCTGCGCATACACGCGCTTCAGTTCAAACAAGACATGTTGTACTGAGGCAAAGTTGTACGATCCTAACACATACTGTAGATCCACATGCTGAGCTCCAAAACAACCGTGCAGGTGTGTTATCCTTCCACACAAATTAGTTCTAATGGGTACATTTTGTTGGAAATAATGCCAGGACACCAATTAAAATGTTTTGTATTAAATACAATAATCATATTCCACAAATCTACCCATTCAATCCCACACACACTCACTGATATTTACTCTATCACAAACATCCTTTGCACAGTAGCAGCAGAGAGGATTTACTTTTTCAATGAGCTGGCTTCTCTCGGGGCCCCTGGCTTTGCCTGAATGACAGGTGGAAATGGGCTTCTTTCTCGCTCCTGTCACAGTGCAGATAGGCGGTGTCGCCAGGTGACCTGTAGCAGAGCTGTCTCAGAGAATAAATGGGCTACAGAACACCCACTCAGTGTTATTACATATAAGTGTGCTCACACACTGTGACTGTACATACATGACTACTTGTGGGCTGTGAACAGATTATAGACATTAAACGTGCACATACATCTACACATGCTTATTTTTTTCCATAAAAACACATAAATTTGCATCTACAAGCACAGTAACAGTAGCTGGGTGAGTTAACTGTTTTTTTTTTTTTTTTTTTTAATGTTAATTCATTTTTAAAAGTAATTTATTGACTTTAAGCTTGCTCTAAATAGATCAATAGATAGAGTGATTCTTTATTGTCTTTCTTGAGTAAAAACAGAAATTCATCTTTGAAGATAAATTGCCACATAAAAGCCCTCTACCTGCTTCATCTGAAATGGGACAAAACATTTTTGGATATTTATTGTTTTGCCTTCATGAACTGATACGAGCGCTCAGCACTGAAGCGCTGAAGTAATTCATTGCCTCCATCATCTGCCAAGTTAAGTTCCCACTGGGAGAAATGAATCACTGCGAGAGAATTAAATCTCATCTTGTCTGGTCTTGTTCTTTGCCAGAGCTTTAATACCTTTTAACGTTGTGATAATTAGTGCAGCCATGAAGAGTGAGAGGATAAAAAAATAGATAAAAACAACAACAAAAAACAAGACACTCTCTGTTGTGTGTGTTGAGCAGGTGCCCTCTACTGGTCGAAGTGTGTATGTTGCTTTTTTTTTTTTCAGCAAGGTGTTGCAGACTTGATTTATTCTGTGTCTTTATGCATGTAGTCATAAAAGGGAGGCACCCTGGTTCTGTTGTCGTAAAGAACCTGACATTTTGATAATGACTCAGTTCAGCTCCTAGAGCCTTTTGTATGGGTTATATTTGAGTGCAGGTCCTGAGGCTGAGATTGGTATTGTGCATTAGAAGGTTGCCATCTAGAGTCAGGATGCAGACAGTGCAGCGCGACGCACAGAGCTGCTGTGTTTGATTTCATGGGGGTGAGAAGGGGAAGTGTGAGCTGTGATGACGGTTGGGTGCGGGGCTAGGAGATGCACTCTTCTTTCTTCACCCCCCTACTCTCTCTCTCTCACACACACACACACACTTATACATACACACACCTCATGGTTGACAGACGGATCTCCCAGAGGTCTCAGCAGTCCTCAGGGGAGCCATCGGTCAGTGAGGTGGATACTCTTAATGTCAGCCCTTAACTGACAAGGCACAACACCTACTGTGTGCTGGTGACTCAAGAGTGTGATCAGGACTAACCGAAGTGAGATGTTCTCTTCTATCACTGACGCATTTAAATATCAGCAAGATGCACTTTAAGAGCAATGTGTCATTCACGTTTTGTCATAGTGTGTTGCATTGAAGCAGCTATTGTCTTGTTAATTTAAAGAGGAATAAAAAAGCTCACTTCTTTGTTTTTTTATTTGGCCTCCAGGATCACTCTGACAGCATGTCTTGCTTTACTGAATGAGGCGCTTTAACTGTGTGTGAGCTTCACTTTCCCCCCAAGGTTTCCTTTTATGAGGGCTCAAACATAACGCAAACTCCTCCTTTTGTATTTGGTGTCCATATTACAAGAGATAGATTTCATGCCTCTGCACAGTTAGTGTTGCACAGATGTTTGTTCAGTTATTTTGGTGCAGCTGCATTTATTGTGACACTAATTTGAGCCATTTTTAAACACCGACAATGTGACGTACATCTAACAGGAAGCATCATATTTTGTCATCAGCACCTCTGACACCTTCATGCTTTTATTTCTACACCAGACGATCGCATTGATTCGCTCTTCAACCAGTCCAATCTTGTCACATCTCCCTTAAAGAGAACCTTTCATTTTGTATCTTCTGCTTTGACAAGCGTTTGTGTGTTTACGTTTTTTGAATCGGTTATTAGGTGGAGACAGTATGAGTGACTAGAAATAGAAATAAAGGCCAGAAAAGATGAGGCAAAAATAGATGGCTTGTTTTCCTGTTTCTTTCTTTTTTTTGTCACTGTGCTTCACTTTCAAGCCTCTTTGAGAGTTGCACTACACTGATAAGATTTGGATTTTTGGATTTGTGGATAGATTTTAGATCCTTCCTGCTCTGTGGATGATTGTGTGAACCAGTAGCTCTCACAAAATGTAATTCTCCTGACCTAAAACAGTGAGGATAATCAATCACCCTGTAGTCAAACGTGATAATCTCAGGCTCCAATAGAAACAGATGACGAATATATAACATTTGTGTATAAAGTGAAATAAGTGTAGGCAGCAAGGTGCTAAAAGGCGGTACTATATAAAACTAAAATATAGAGTTGTTACAGTTCATAAACGAGGGGTTATTGGGTGAGAAGAGCCTGGTTATCTGTTGTTCTTTCAGGATCATAAATTGTGCAAAATATAGATATGATATTTTAAGCTGTAAACCTTTTTATATCGTTCTGACTTTAAAAACAATAAACTGAGAAGTGGGACCAATGATACAACTAATAGCAGATGTTGTATGATACAGTTAAAGGTTTGTTTTTTAATACTCCTTGAACTTACATCTAACAAGTGCACATTTTTTAAAATGTCTTCAGTCAAAACAACAACAGAATCACTTGAAATGTGTTGCATTCAAAAATTCATTAAAGATTCAAGGAAATCCTTGAAACAAGAAAAACTGTATTGCCTTTACTAGTAATTTTATAGCTGCAGTTTAGCATTTATGCCAATACAGCAAAATGAATTGCATCACTTGAGGAAGGGGGAGGCAGGGCTGCTTCCAAGCATTAAAAATGAGTATATACAGTCTGACAGTCACATCAACAGTCTTATTTTCAGCATTTTTTTCAAACCACTTTAGAGTTTTTTTTATGCATAAATATGATGTCTAACATGCAAATTTGTAAGTAGGTCGTACTACTCTCCAGTGCCACAGCACCAAGTTGTTTAATGTGCTTCCATCTTCAAGCTCCATCTGAATTCCCTGTACAAAACACAGCTTTGACTCCGCTTCACCTATTTCCTTTTTTGACCACCATACAGTACCTCATCACATCTCTTCCCTCTCTTCTCCTTCTCTCCATCTTGCCTTCTCTCTCTCTCTCTCTGTCTCTCTCTCCATCCCTCCTCTTCTTTTTTTTTCCATGTGCAGAGGCATTTTTTCCTCCTCCATCCTATCTCCATAGTTTCAATTTCAGCCTGTTCATCAGTTGTATTGGATCTTATTTGATCTTTCCCCTTCTCTCTCTCTCTCTCTCTCTCTGTCTCTCTCTCTCTCTCTCTCTCTCTCTCTCTCTTCCATCCTCTCTGTTTTCATCTTGGAGACAGTAGTGTGCATGCAGCCTCAAATCTAAGCCACTGCCTGTCAGGCTGCTCCGTTTATGCGCTCTGCGCTGCTCTCCTTTTCCTCTCCTCTCCCCTCTCTCTTTACTGCACTGCACTGCACTGCTCGTCTCTCCTCTCCCCACATCTCCATCTCTCCTCCTTCTCTTCCTCTCTTTCTCTTTCTCTACCTGCATCTCTCTCACACTACGCGCTCTTATCTCTGTTGTGCATTGCTGCGCTCTGCTCCATTGTTTGGGAAAATACTGTACACTCTGGGTGTTTTTTTTTTTCAGCCAGAGCTGAGCAGACTTCAGCTTCTGGTGGAAGAGGAATCAGATGCTCCTGGTGCTCCAGGTTTGACTTGCCTTGGATTCTTTGGATCTGTTTGCACCTGAGAAGAGGAGAGCGCAGCAAAGGGAGCTGAGAGGGGGCAGAGAGCTGCCCAGGTGAGAGCTTCATCTGCTTGGGGAAGTAAAGGCTTCAAGGTGGTGGCAGTGGTGGTGGCGGTAGTGGTTGATGGTTGTCCGTCAAGGGTCATGCCCTGGGACTTGCGTGCCTTTCGGCAGTTGGAGTTGGAGACCCTCTCCCATTTTTGCCCCCTTAGTGGGGCAGCATTGATCCTGGTGCCGGGAAAAGCTGCCGGGCACCAGTGGCTGCAGCGTGAAGAGTGGACACCATGAACCAGCTGGACGCACCACGGCCACTCAACTGGACCATCAGAAAACTGTGCCATGCAGCCTTCCTGCCATCTGTACGCCTGCTAAAGGTAAAAGAACACTGGAGAGGGGAGATTGGCAATGAACTAAATAATAGATGCCCAGGGACGTGTAGTAAAATATGTCAGGCAGCCCTTCTGCTACCCTGCTGCTCTCCAAATGAAGATGAGTGGAAAGATGTGTGAGGGTGTAAAATGAATGCTGAAGAAGCTGCTGTGCCACATCTTTGGCTTCCTTTGTGTGTCCTTAGTGCATAAATCGGTGGATGTAAGGCAGTCATTAAGAGGGGATAGAGGGAATAACGTTGTTGAAAATGAATAAAAGTGTGGCAAAGCTGCCAGCATAACACACTCAGAGGGGAGCTTAAAGGTTTGGAAGTGTGGGGATGCGCAAAGAGTGGAGGATAAAAATGGAGACGAGGAAAAGCGGGAACATGATGCTTGAGAGACACACGGAAAGAGGTGGATGGAAAAAATGAAAGAAGGGGTGAGAAAGAAAGTGTGCTGAAAGAGGGAAAAAAGACAAATTCTTATAATTTATTGAGAGAACAGACAAATAAGAGATGGAAAGAAATAAGAAGATGAGCGCTGATTACAGGGGTCCAATCTTAAAATAGCGAGAGGGTTACACAAAGGGTGAAGATGGAAGCATGAAATGTCGACAGATAAAAAGAGTAAGCAAAAAGAGATAAGAGAGGGGAAAAGAAAAGGTAGAGAGTGAACTAAAGAGGCAGAATATGATGATTTGTAGGGATGCAGGAGCGGAAACCTTAAATTGGAAAAGATAGACAGGACAGAGGAGCTTTAAGAAAAAAGTGAATGTGTACCATTACATTCCAGGACATAGATGTTGAAATAGTTCCAAAATACACCTTAATATTAAGAATTCATGCTGAGTTGTGTATTTTGCCCAAGTTAGCTGCATTTAGTTGACAAACTTAACCTTTTCACCTCATCACCTGTGCAGAGGTGTGCAATGTAGCGTGGATGAATGTATTTACATCTGGGCGTGTGTGGGTGCATCTGCGTACGAGTGATTTGTAGCCTCTGTAAATCCACAGCACCTTTATAACGCCTGCTTCGAGACACTTGTAGCCTAAAAACCTCATCTTTATGCATTCATGTGCTTTTATAAGCCAGTTACAGGCACAGGAGGGCTATTGTCAGAGGTCTTGAATGCCTCTTCTTCACTCTCCTTTGATCTGGCTTTATCAAAGTGTCTCACAGAACAGTGTGGCTGTGATGTCGAACCACACAACTAGAGTGCCTGGGCTCACATGTCAGACATTTGCATTTGTATAGCCTGGTTAAATGAATATCATTGTAATCCTTGATTGAATGTGCATAGGGTCTGCTTGTGTGTGTGTGTGTACATGTGTGTGCTGCTAACACGTGCTGCGGAACTTTACACGAGGATGGGGCTTTTTCATAAGTAAGTAACGGCATTTAGCAAATCCACCGCAAACACCCTCGAAAGTTTAAGTGAATTACCACAAATTAGATTCAATTGAATTTTTTCCCTCCCTAAGCTGGATCCGACTTGAGTAGATGATCATCAAGTGAGAATTTTTAAATTTAATGCACTCAGTAAGTGACTCCCTCAGTGGGCTGACGACTGCACAGAAATGATTTTTATTTGTATGTAGGGCACCTCGTCGTGAATCAGAAAATGTTCCCATCCAATATTCCCACCATGTGTCCAAGGACTGACTTACGAAGCAGCTCCAAGGACTGACAGCATCATTACCACAGCGCCGTTCAGCTCGACAGATCTCTCGCCATATCATGTTAAGAAGTAGTTTTAAAATATTCATCCAGAGTTTATCTTTAAGTCGACCTCTTTAAATGTTGCTGCACTTGAACAGCTAATTCTGTTGTTTGAGGTCAAAGTCTGCACTGTGGGTGGCAGCTTAACCTTGGCCTCCTCCGTGTTAGCACCACGGATGAAGCTACAGCACAAAGGATTTTAGTTCCTGGAAGTCTGTTTACCTTACGTGAATCCTCCGAGGGAGACATCAGTTTGTCAGCGTGAAATTAACCTAATAGCCTGTCATTATTGTTGGAAATTTCTGCAAGACAAGCACTTTCCTCCCATGTCCCTCCAACTTATTACCTGCCTTGTGCTGCCAAATGCATCCCTAATGCTGGTGCGTTCATGTCAGTGCGACTGCAATTTACAGACTGTCAGAGACGCTTCGTGTCTTCCTTGGGCAGGAAAATATGTCCCGCAGATTGCGTGTGCGCGCTTGTGTTTGTGCGTAGGTGTGCGCTTGCTTCTGTGCACATGCTTTTCAATAAGTATGTGCATTTATAATGCAGCGCTACAGGCACAGTTCACATTACAGCAAGTAGGTACTGTGTAAGCGCTGGCGTGTGAACATATGATCAGAACCGTGTGGTCTACTCAGGGGGGGAAACAGTTGCAAAAAAAAAAGTACATTTGATAAGAACTGAAACCTTTAAGTTCAGCATTATTTGACATTGATAATATGGGTAACACCTCAACAAATGCTTCTGTCTGACTCATGGAGACATTACAGCCTCCTCAGAACTAAACACTTACACAATCTAATCTCATTTCTTCTACACACACACACACACACAACCTAACCTGCTAACACACCCTCAGCCAGTGTTTCTCTTATTATCCGATGTGTTACACAGTCAGACCTTTTTAAATCTTATCTGGACTGTTAAAAAAATGTGCTCTTTACTAGATCTGGTTGGCAAATTTAATATAAAAAAAATGTTATCTCTGTCAGAGCTTGTGTCTTCCTCCTGAAATAATCACATATTTGCAGCGCTGACAGCTGAGATTTTTACAAGTTTAAGCCTCGGATTTCATGTAGACTCAGCGGGATGGAGTATGAAACGGAGAAGCAATATTGGAAAGAGAATCAGAGGAAGTGGCAAATCTTCCTTCATCCTCTTTTGGCGACTTTAATACTTCTTTTAATTCTATTTGTTTCAAACACATACCTCGGTCTGTTTTTTTTGGCTTTTTAAGATAACGGCCTCTCTCATTTCCACTTTTTTGATTTTGTGCTTTTTTATCCTACTTTTGATCATCATGCTACATTAAGTTGTCTTAACTGCCACCTCCTATCAGTTCTCTCTTCTACTTCATCTCTTCACTTTCTTTGTAGATCACATGCTTTTTTTTTTTTTTATACATTTGCAGCACTGTGTAGTATTTGTATAAAGAATATTAAGCACATAGTGAATCCTTTCCTGTCCATTTTCAGTCCTCATGTCTCTACTTTTCTTTCTCATGTCTGTCTGCTTGTCTTTCCTTCTTTCGTCATCTTTCCCTGCCTCTTTCCTTTGGTTACCATCTCCTCCCTTTTTGTGCCTCTATTCCCTTTTTATTCCATTGCTTCCCATAATCATAAAGCATAGATAACACTCCATCTTATGCAAAATACATGGGGGATGGAATGTGCTGCTAAAAAAAAATAAATATATCTCTCTATTGCTAAAAATAAATCTGTTACATAAAAAGGTACACTGTTGCGGTGCTTGTCATCTAGTTGAGCCGCGAGGAGTGACTGTGCGTGAGAATTCGTCTTACACAGCAATTTAGCGTAATGATGTTTAGAAACATGTTCTATTCTTAATGTGAATTCTAACAATATATAGTTCAAGCAAGAAGCAAAAAACATTTTGTCACCCATAGGTGGCACCACCCATGTTTGTATCTGCAGTAGAGTTAGATCTCAGCACACAGATTGTACAAGTTACAGAACTAACTAACCTCAGAACATAGTTTTTGTGTGTAAAGCTTTCTTTTGCTTATAAATGTGTATTCTTTTAGTGTGTATCATATATTCTTTAAGTTGCACACTTCAGATAGAACTTTACACAACATGTAGAACTAATGTGTGTTTCCTGTAGGTGTCATATCTATATTAAGGAGGGGGCGGGCTCTTTTAAATATCAGATGTCAGCTGAGCAGCTAAAGTGTTGAAACAGATTTTTCACATGCAGAGTCTTTGCATCAGACTCCCTCTGTGTAGCACTCGTTGTGCTTCATTTACACATTGTGATAAATCATTAAGATTGGGACAGCAGGGATTGTTTCAATTACCAAGCTCTGATTATCTGATTAAATTTTCTATGGTTAATGACACCCATAATGTGCACGTTACATTAGGATCTTTGTGTGCATTCTGTTGTTATTGAGTTTGTTTGAGTGGACAAAGTGCACATATTATCTGAACATAAATGACAAATGGTACATACCTCTAAATAGTGTTGTTTCAAAGCACCGTAATACCAGCTACTCTCTAAACATGAAAGCATAGTTACATAAGATGTTGCTTACACACAGGAAAATAGGTTAACAAATCAAACTCAATCGAACAACTAAATTTAAAAAAAGCACACAATTTACATATACAAACATCATAAAGTAAATTAGGTGGAAGGGAATTCAGCATGTGCACACTGCAAAGAAAACTAGCTGCTCATCCGATATTCCAGCCTGCTGTTTTCTTAAGTTCTGCACTGCTTTGGAGGTCAGTGTTGTTTCTCCCAAAATCACCTCACTCTTATTCTCTGCTACCTCCACACATGCTGACACATCCCAACAAGTTGAGAAAAATGCTTCCTGAGTGTTGAGGACAAGTGGAGGAAACAATGTGTTGTCACACACAGGCCTCAGGGAGAGTCCTCTCCCCTTTCTGTCACTCTTTTTCCTTCTTGTGTAAACAGGCCTCAGAGTTGGAGGATGTCTCAAAGCTTCCTTGTTTATGTCTCAATTAACCAGTTACGCTGCATTCATGAGATTTCAATTTAAACATTATCTCGCTAATGAGCCAAAACGAGAGCATAAGCTGCCAATTAACACCTCATTCCTTTATTTAGTCACACAAAGACCCTATATTTCCTATTTGGCAACCGTCCACACAACATCATGGGAAGTGAAACAAGACCCTGGTAAATTTGTTTCTCTTGAACGCTCTCTAAAATATTTGGATCGCTTAACGAGCAACCAGCTCGAGGAAACGTTGTGTCGTCATGCTTTCTGTGCTTTTTGTTTTTTGAATGCG